CTGAATCCTGTAACTTTGTAAATCAAATTCAGAGGGTTTAAAGTGTAGCATTCAGCACAGAGCCAGCACATAGTAAGTGCTCATTATGAGCTAGTTGCTGCTATTACTGTTATTATGGCTGGGACTGTGTACTCTCCCCCCAAGGGTATATAAACAGTGGATAGAGTATTCCAGATCCTGAGGTCACCCCAAGGTCTCACAAGATCAAGAGAAGCAGACGGAAAGGCCCCCCTATCAAGAATAAGGGAAATGGATGAACACCCAGGCAACAGATAGGACGCCAGGACACTTGAGGCCCCATGAGAACCTGATAAGGGGGTGGGAGGGTCTGAGAGGAGAGTGAGGCTGAGGATTCTGTGCTGCAGCGCACACAAAACAAATGCTTTGCAAACAGGGAAGGGGCTGAGAAGGGTAGACCAAGGCTAAAATGTGGCTTGGATTAAAAAGGCCGAAATGTGAGTTGAGGAGGCATTTAAATACACTGTCTCCTTCCCCCTTTGTTTTGGAAGACCAGATTTCTTTTCCCCTCTGACTTCTTTGCTCAAGGGGAAATGGAATTAACCACTGTGTAATGTTTTTGAGTGTGACCCACGGGGTAGGTCATGTGCTTTGGTTACGTAATGCAACATGCCTGAGGCTCCTGAGCTCTTTCTTCCAGAATCACTAGATATTTAGCTGGTTCTCTTTTGCAGTTATGCATTCATGGAGCAAAAATACATATGACTCCTTTATAAGCCAGGCACTGTGCTAGGCAGTGGAGAAATTGAGATGACCTCAAATATGCACACAATTAAATGTGATAGAAAGAATTCCAGGTCTTTTGACATATATGTGTGCAGATTGTACAGTGGAGACAGATAAATAAGGGAGGTTGTACTTGGAGAAGAATCAGGGAGGGCTCCTCAGAAGAGGGGAACCTTGAGCAGGATCCTCTAGAGGCTTAGATGTTCTGCAAAATGGTGCAGAGGATATGGAAGGCACATCAAATTTTAAAAATTGATGTAAAAAAAGCCTAAGTTATCTGGGGTATCTGAAGGACCTATAGCTAGAGTGAAATTTACGTTTTAGAAACATCTGACTATCAGATATTGAAGGGTAGACTGAAGGGGTATAGGGGTTGAAGCTCAGAAAAGTGGGCACCATAATACTAGGGAAAGAGTCAAAGCCAGACATGAAGAGAGCCTAAGCTAAAAAGAGGAGAGAAAGTTATAAAACTGTCAAAGAGGCAAGACAGATGGAATGATGACTTACTGAGTACGGTGGATGGCATATCTACAGTAGGTGACACTAGATGAGGACACAAGAATGCTGGAGGAAAGATGATTGAGCTTTGGACAGGCTCAATCTGAAGTGCATGTTTACATTCCTGGTGGATAGCTGGATCAATGGGTCTGGAGCCCAATAGAGTCTGGACGTAAAAGACGCTCATTAGCAGAGAGATGCTAATTACTACATGGGAAAGGGTGCAAAGTCAGGAGACAAGTAGACCTAGCTCTCGCCTAATGCTCAGAAAACAGAGGCTCTTGCGTAGCTTAGTCACTGATCTGGGCATGCCGCTTCTGTCACCAACCCTTAGTTCCTCATCTATGAAATAAATGGCTTAGATGAGTGCTTCTCACTCTCATACTCCTTGGTTCTTTGGACTTACATGAATGTCGTATCACAACCCAGAATACAATCTATATTTATTTCTTATGTTTTCTGTCTTATATTTTTGCATCTCATAAAACAAGGCCTACTTATACGTGATTGGTTTGTTATTCTATCTTTCTCTATTTTCTCATCAGTCTTTGTAGCTGAAAGATGTCCAATCTCACTGGGGGAAATAACCCCTTCCATACAAACACATTTGGTCATATTTTGCCCAGCCACATTTCATGTTTGAGAACAAAAGGAATTTTTTTAAAAAAAAAAAGAAGAAGAAGAAGGATATGGGACAGATACAGGAATTTCTTCTTGGCTACAAAAGTGATAGATATAGGTTAGAACACAAACTTCTTAAAGGCAAAAATGGCTGGACCAGGATTCTGCATTTAGTAGAACATGCTCCCCCTCACTCAGATACTTACATCTCAGCTGTGACCTCCTACCTATTAGACATCCTCTTTCTTAAAAATGGACTTGAACCTGAGACATCCTTACATTCTCTAAAACTGAAACAGGGTCATGTCTGTCTCCTAATCTTCCAGGTTCTATGGACCCTGGGTTTGTGGTAAGTAATACGGACAGACAATTTATCTTTCTCTTGTTTGAAGAAAAATTTAAGTGGTCAAAGTTAATGCAGTGATGATAAGGGATAGGAAGAAAGAGAGAAAAGAAGGAGGCAGAGGGAACAAGAGGTACTTCATGGATGACAGTACTGGGGATTCCCGGAAGGATAATAGGCTAACAGATGGCTACAGATTCTAGAGTTTCACTATTTTAATTCATGAAATGACTTGATTAAAATGATTAGCAAGACTGAAAGGGCAGTGTCCCATTCTGATGTCAAAAACTCCTCTGGAATGGCTTTTGTATAGTGAGAAATTATGAAATTTGAGTAGTCTAATCATTAGCCAAGTAAGTGATCACTGGAAAAGTCCCTCAGTGAGTTTTTTAGATATTTATGGCAGCTATTATTAGCAATAATATTGATGAGATGGCTTCCAGCCATTGGGGAGTACCAATATTCCCTAAATAATGTCTTCAGTCAGTCTTTGACTGAAATTCTACCCATTGGTGCTTTGCTTTTGGAGTCAAAATGTTTTGAGGGGAGATATTAAAGAATACATGTGTCCGGAAAAGTAACATTCTAAGTTGTTGCTAGTCCCTGATATCTTAGCAAGAAGGAATGCCATGTCCTTTTCTGCGAAGAGTTTTGCTGGGGGAGAGGAAGCAGAAAGTGTATGGGCACTTGGCCCCTGAGGGAGACAGGCACAGGCACCACCTAGTGGTGGAGAATGCACGAAAAAGAAGGAAGAAAGCTGGGAGCTGATGCCAACTTTGCAATTTTGTATTAGGACAGCATCGCTTAGAATGATCAAATCCTAGGAGACCTCTGCTAGAACGCTCCCCAGAAGAAAGATAAACTCCTCTCTACTCACATTGTTCAGATGAGGGAAACTGGCCCAAGACATAAAGTGAATTGTCCAAAGTCACACAGCAAGCTCAGGACTGACTTGTCTAGAACTGACATCTCCCAGCTCCTGACGTGCTGCTCATCCAGTGCACGGCGGGGGGGGGAGGGGGCCTTCTGCGGATGGCCTTGGGTCTGCTCACAGGGCTTTTCTTCAATGCCCCTGCTCCTGACCGCCTCCCCTGACAACCCGCTTAAACCTCACTCCTCATGTGCCCCCAGCCTCGCAGAGAGCTCTCTAGGATCTCTCCTCTATTCTTCTTCATAAACATTCACCTGACATTACGTGACATGTCTTTACATTCATTTATACTCTGTCTTCACCTTTCCCCTTCCATCCCTCACCTCCAAAATAAATTCCCAAAGACAGGGTCACTTCCTCTTCTGGTCGTTACTTTGTCCTCAGGGCCCAAAACTGTACCTGGCTTGTAGCAGTCATTCAATAAATAGTTGCCAAATGCCAGGGAAGGGATGGATAAATTTTACTTTGTCTCTTGTTTTTATCTATATTGCTTAGATCCTCTACAATAAGCACTTGCTGCTTTTGTAACATGCAATAAAGTGTTTATTCTGTTTGTCTTTTAAGTTTTGTTTTATGTTAAGATCACCTCCATAAATCTTTCCTGAGTGGCAAGGGAGGGAAAGGCAATTCCTGGCTGTGCCAAAGGAGGGAAGCCTGTGTAACGCAGAGAGTTATTGAGAGAATTTGAAATGACGTGTGGCGAGGGCTGGGCACACAGAATACCAATATGAGTTAACATTTACTAGGTGCTTACCCATGGTCTAGATTCCATTACTAAGCATTTTTCCACATGGAGGCTCAGTTAATCTTCAAAACAACCCAGGAAGTAGGAGCCAGTACTATCTGCATTTTATGGATGGGAAAAATGAAGCTTGAAGATATTAAGTAACTTGCTGAAGGTCATACAACTAGCAGGTGGGAGAGTCAGGAAATCAAATTCAGGCAGTCTGACTTTAAGTCCTATGACTCAAGTTAGTCCAACCAGTACAAAATACTTCCCCAGTAAACACAGGCTCCTTTCCTCTATTTCCTGATGGTGTCAGCTCTTGCTGAGATCAATCAATTGCAGGTTGTTCCCCTAGGGCTCGAGGTTTTAAGAGGCTCCTAAACCTATTGGAGATGGAGAGAAATAAGGAGCCAGTAATGAAAAATAGAGGTATGTGGAAATGTGATTTTGTGTGTGTGTGTGTGTGCACGTGCGCATGCGCGCACGCGCACGTGTGTATTGTCCCAATATGTTTTGTATTGTCACAATGACTAGCAGATCCTAGGGGGCTCGTATGCAGAGAACCAAGAATGCTACATGTTTCACAATGTGTGGGATGACTGCACACAGCAATGAATGTTCTCACTCAAAAGGTTCTTATTGCCCAGCAAGGCTGTCTCTACTTGGCCCTTCTACATGCCCTTCTTAAGGCTTCCTGCCTTTCTTTTCCCTTGAGCTTCCCCAGGATGGTGAGCCTCCTCAAATTCTGAAGCCTAGGCTGAGTTCTTTTAATTAATCTCTATGTAACCCTGGGAGTGTCCTGAACCCTCTCCAGGTGGCTGCCCCTGTATTTGGAAACCTATCACCCACTGACACTCACAGAGACCTACGACTTCCACTCCTCCTGTGGAAACTTTTAATTATGGAAGTCTTCAATCACACACAGAGGGATAGACAAAAATGTGTGGAAGCCTGACATTTCTGTCCCCTGGTTTCAATGATGTGATCAGGCTGCCCATCTTCTTTCATCTGCACCCCAACTCCCACCCTCTACATTTCTGTTTTCTGGGAAATTTTAAACAAACAAAACAGACATAGCATCATTTCACCCATCAATAATTTAGCATGCATTTCTAACAGATTAGGATTTTTGTTTACACTGTACTGGCATAGAATGGACCACCTCAGTAGCTTCTGAGGCTAAATATATTTCTATCACCACAATCGCTTTAGTAAACTTGGTTCCCTTCACTTCCGCCACATCATGTGAGTTAATGATCGCGTTTGCACAAGATTAGGATCTTCACTAATACACAATACCATTACCACTCCTGACAAAAGCCACAATAATTCCTAAGGCCAGTCCATGTCCACTCAAATTCTGTAACTATGGGACCTGCACATTCCTATAAATGGAATCTTGTAGACTCCCACAATTTAAGCACAATAATGTGCCGGGAAGGTCGGGGAGACAGAGGTGTCCCCTTCTGCCTCTTCCCTGGGGCTTGCTAAAATTGTGAGCACAATTTGAAAGTCCCTATTATATCCCTACGCCTCACTGTGCCCCTAGAGAACACGGAGGCCCAGGGAGGAGCAGGTAGTTAATTTATCAAGGTCACAAAGCAAGTAAGAGTTAGGATTTGGCAGACCTGTGAGGTCCCAACAGCAAAGAACTCCAGGGAGGCCACAAGTATCAAAAGATTTGCTAACTCAATCACTGTTTATCATTTGCAGTGTGAATAATAAAATGAAGGCACCACCCCAGGAATGCCCTTCATTGCTCAAATCCCTCACATCTCTCACCTTCTGCCTCCTCCTACTGTTGCTGACATGTTGACTGGGTTGTGACCTTGACTGACAGCTTCTGTCGTCATTGTCTCACCTGGTCCTGTGACAACCCGTGAAATAGGAATGTTGAACGTAACCACACCTGAACCCCTCTCTCCTGAGGCCCCAGGGATTGAGTCACAAGTTCCAAGTCACACAGCTCAGAGGAGACCAAGCCAGGACTTGAACCCAGAGCTCATGAGTCCCAGTTCCAGCTTTTCGAAGGAGCCAAGGTGCCAAGATTGACAGGTCAGTTCTCAGTATTTCCAGTAAGTGCATCAAGGCATGAAGCAAAGCCTTTAGTGCATCAAGAAAGATGAGGGAGCACTGAGGGAAAGAAATTAAAGTCCAGGGAAGTGTGGCGGCAGGTGAGGCGGGAAAAGGCATCTGCTGACTTTCTGAGCCTTTGGCAACAGGTAGACAAGTACGAGCTGCCTGTAGAGGGAGTCCTCCTAACTGGGGTACCTGGGGTACCTGGGGACCGCTTTCCTCATACGAGGCACCTGCTGCTAGTACTGGTTTCACAGCGATCACAGGTGAGGAGGGTTTGAAATAACAGGAACACACCCCTCCCTGCAGGACTACCCCAGGGCACAGCAGGAATCCCGCAGAGCTGAGCTTCCCTCTTTAACACTCCTTGTTCCTGCTCTGACAGGCTCCCCTTCCCAGCACTTGGAGAGATTCATTTAAAATCAGATGCACAGAAGTCAATGTGTTAACTCCCTACAGGAATGTTCACATGTTAAAGGCTACCCAGAAGGATGGAGTGTGGCTTCACACACAGGAATATCTCTGGAAAGATGGAATGTCAGGGCTAAGGCACCCAGAGGTTTGGGGTCAGCAGTGGAATTAAGAATGAAAGAAGGGTCTTTCCTGGCCAGGGTTTGGCAACTCAGAATCGGGACAGCTAAATTTCTCTGAAGGTTCAGCCACAAATTGGCTCCATGGGCAGGGACACATTTCTACCTTTGGGCCTCACTCTTCCCATCTGTAGAGGAGGGAGACATCAAACTGCATCAGTGATGCTCCCCACTGATGGTCCTTCCACATTACCTGAGAAGACTTTGAAAACCCCCAGTGCCCAGGCCAACCCCATACCTGTGACATCAGAAACCCTGGGCTGCAGCCTGGCCATCAGGATGCTTTGAAAGCTGGTGATCCCAGGCGCTGCCGGGCATAGGAACTACTGAACTGAGCCATCTCCCCCACTCATTTGAGAGGGAGTGGTTTGTGAACATAGCTTAATGCTTAGCTCCTATGTGACTCTGGCCCTCAGTCTCCCTGTTGCACAATGAGCCTTCTGACCGGGTCCATGCCTGGGCTGACTGTGCACAACCCATGCTTGTTCCTGAGCCCCACACCTCTAGCCTCAAGCCTGCCTTAGTCTGGGCAGAGGGGCAAGACTGACGCAGCCTCCATGACCCGGCTCTCCACGTGAATAGCGGTATGAGGCCAACGTGGAAGTTGGAGGACATCTGGGAAAGGAGTGAGAGGCATGTGACAATAGGTCTGCGACCTGGACTCCACTGTGACCACTGCCTGGCTTCTGTTCCTGGGGGTGCATGCTCCCCCTTGAGGCTAACAGGTTTTCCTGCTTACAGGTCCAGTGATCCTGGACCTCCTCTGGCTCTTACCACCACACGGTCATCCAAGTAGGTCACAGAAGAGGAAACCAAAGTGTAAAGAAGGGACTTGAGGGGGTCTAACCCTTCCTCAAGATATCCTGTCTATTCTAGGTAGACTCCCCAGCACCTCAGGAGGCAAAGCCCTACCAGAGCACAAACGGGCCCCACTTTCTGAAGGCCAGGCTAGCAAACTGGAAAAGGGAATGTGGTTACTTACTAGATGCAGTTACTGTTGACTGAGTCCCTAATGAGTTGGAACCATGCCAGGTACTTTCTGTGTAGTTGTTTTATTGCAGTATGCTGATCTTATTATGCCCATTTCACAGATGAGCAAACCAAGGTAGAGAGATGAAGAAAATTGATTCAAATCACACAGCAAGTAACTCTTAACAGAAAGTCCAAGCCCGGTCTGTCTGATAATTTGGCATGAAAAGAAAAATGGATCTGCTTGGTCGAACCCAGCGTTCCACATGAGAGTTATACTTATGTTTTATCCTCTTTAATTGGTAGGTGATGGTCAGCACACAGAGAGACAGGAAGGAATGAGGATATTCTGCAGCAGTCACCTCTTCTGTCTCCAAAGAGATGAAGAGGAAACAGGCACATGGTACTCAAGTTCATGTCTATGCTCTGCCCACCTGATGACCTATAGGGCTCTGGGTTAAGTTACTTCAACTCTCTTTGACTCTGTTTTCTTGTTGGTAAAGTAGAGGCAATGGTGCTCGTCTCCCAGGTGGTTGTGAGGGTGAAACACGCAGGCACAAAGCAAGCACCTGGCATTGTGCCTGGCACCTTGGCGGCACCCAGGAACAATTGCTTTCCTTCCTGTCTTTATGTGTCCTCCATCCATAAAATCAAGACTGGGATCTTTGGAAAATCATACCTAATAATAAGAGCGACTTTTATTGAGCATTTACTATATACCAAATCCTGTTCTGAGCACTTTTCACATATGAACTCATTTCATGGATAGGTACTCATACTATCCTAACTTCATAGATGAGGAAGCTGAAGCCCAAAGGAGTCAATTAGTTTGCCCAAGGTCACACAGCCAGTTAGGGACAGAGGTAGATTTCCACTTAGGTAATCTGACTACAGAAACTGGTTTCTCACCATTGCAGTATTCTAGATCCCTGTGACTACAAATGTTTGGGGAGAACAGTGTTAATGTATGGACTCCTTGAAACCTAGCTTTCCCATCAGAGCAATCTCCAAGTTGGGAAAATGCAGGTATTCTTTTTTGTGGGGTCAGGTGGGTAGTAGGAAGTAGGAACTATAGGAGGGAGGGACAAAAAAAAAAAAAAAGACTTCTGAGTAGCCAGCACATCCAACAGTCCAACATTTAGAACAAAAGAAAAAAGTGTGGCAACAGGGGGTGCTGGACGGAGTTCAGGTAAATCCCTTTCTCCTTCTGAGCATGCATTTGGGATCACCAAGGGGTGGGGGTGGGAGGAGGGCAGCACTTGTGGGGTCCACATTTCACTTATCTAACAGGTCAGGAGAAACTTTAACAAGATTAACTACTGCTCGGGGCCTCTGCTCGATGAAGCAAATTGAATCTATTGTTTTCTTTTTCTTTCTTTTTCAAACTGTTGGGCATGGGTGGGGGTTGGTGCTTGGGAATGAGGGGCAGGGGTCTGGATCCTGCCTGGTATGGTACAAAAACAAAGGGATGTGTCAAAAAGCTCCCCCCTCCCGACTTAAAAAGAGAGCCCAAATTGCCATGCATGAAAGCTGAAGGCTGTGCCTGGGTGGTAGGCCTGTGAGGGGTGAGAGGTGATGGTGTTTATTAGACACATTCTGTCAGAGGTGTAAGGGGTAAGGCCTGGAAGCCAGCATACTCAGGATTAAATCCTAGTTCCTGCCGCTGAGGACCTGTGTCACCCAGCACACAACCTTCCCCTGTCCCTGTCCCTGTCCCTGTTTCTGCCTCTGCCTCCCTATTTGGCCAAAGGGACAACTGGCCTAGGTAACCTCCCAGCACCCTTACCCCAGTAACCTTAAAGGATTCTTCAGTCCCAAAGACCACCCATTGTTGGTGGGTCATTCGGAGAATCCTGCATACGGGCACTTTCTAACTTTAGCTTCGTTTTTGCCTGCTCAAGCCTTTCCTTTTATATTTATTAATATATATCTGTGTGTGTGTGTGTATTTCTCCTTCCCTTCTGGAAAAATAAAAGGCATGTTTTCTGAGCTTCAGAAGCAAACTGCTTCTTCACTCCTTCCCTCTGCCTCTCCAAGCGCCTGTCTGAACTGGTGTCAGTGAAGTTTGAACCAGGGCAGAAATAGCATCCCAGGCGGATCTGGGAGCACAGCCCGCCTACCAGGAGCAGCGAGGCCTGCCTCTGCCAGACGACAGACCCGGTTAACAGCACCGTAAAATTAGACCTTTGCGAAACCCAGTCGAATCCTGCAGCAGAGAGTGATGTAAGGCAGCCTGGCCTGACAGCGAGGCAGCAATCCTCTGCCTGAAATAGCAGCGCGGTCCCTGCTGAGAGATGCCTGCTCTCTCAAGATAGGTGACCAGGGATTCCTACGAAAGTGGTGACGCCCAGCCTAAGAGAGCCAGCAGAGGTCAGGCAGCACACTGGGCACCCGAGGTCACAGGCAGCGGCGGGAGGACGTGGCTCGGCACCAGCATCCCGGCTGCCCACCTGGGTCCTGCCTTTCCCAGCCCAAACTTACACCAAGGAAGAACCTGAAAAAGTGCTTCTGCAAAGAACCTCTGTTTGTTTGCTTTTTAATTCAAGGAGAAGCAGGTTCCTTTTAGTCCAACAGTCTCTACCGTGTGGAGGATACGCAGAATGAGTCTTTTCTGGCTCAGGGCCAGGTGTTTAC